CTCCATTCTATATTTGTATTTTATATATTTTTTTCCATAGTTGTGAGTATGTATAGCGAAACATAGTATGCAATATATGTATGTAGGGAATGAAAAACTAATAAAGTCATTCTATATCATGGTATCCGGCATATATGTATTTTGATTCTTAGTTTTGAACATATATAGCATAGTCAAGAAGCCGATTTTACACTACATGCTTTATATACTCATAAATAAAAAATGAAATAAATTGATAGATATAGAGGGATATAGAATGATTCTATTCATTTCTTATCATATAACCATCTATCTATGTTAATATAATTTTGCTTTTAGTTTTGAGTATATACGTCAGCCTAACTATTAAAAAGAAAAATATATAAAGAGATGTTGATGAATATAAGGGGAAGAACCAAATAAATTGTGTAATATGCTTTTATTTCTTTTGATCTATATTCTTGTAAAGTTGTGAGTTTGTCAATTGCACTCAGAACTAAAAGCAACAATTTATTCAGGGAGAGAAAAGTACAGAATAAAGAACTAGCCAATTTATTTTATATCATTTAATATTCATCTGTATATTTTTAAAAAATTTAGTTTTGAGCATATTTACAACCTCACAACTACCAATGAAAATATATAAATGCGTATCCAAATCATCCTATATCCTTTTATCTCAATCTAATTATCTTTTTTTAAAGTTGTGAGTTCATAAAGCAAATCTAGTAGAAAAGGATAGTCTTGTTGACTTGAAGCTCTTGTAAGTATGAGTTTCAGCTCTAACGAGGTTTTTCATATGGTATGAGGGACGAAAGCTTAGTCCGGTTTCACCCAAAACGAGAGAGGATATCTCACCGACTGTTTCAACCTGAACGTCGTAGAAAAGCCAAAAACAGCTGCAAAAAAACAGCAAACAGTCTTCTGACAAGAACAACCTACACATCTTTTCCTCACGCACTTTGAAACGAAACAAAAGTCTATTCAACAACGCTATTACCAAAAGTTCCTCGGAAACCAGCCACCCTTTGTATATTCAACGTGAAAGTGATCATCTACCAGACCGTTCAGATCACTTTCGTGGGCACATGCTATAGATTGGAGCTGCCAACCGCCGAATCTGTAGCCTCTCACCTAATGAACCGGCCTCGGGCAGGCCACCAAGCCTGGCTCCAAACGAGAGCTGGGTACCCGCTGTGCCTGGCTCCGCGGTGTTCTCGTTGTCAGTGTCTCCGATCATGCCGATCAAGCCGGCCAGGTTGCGCACCGAGCTGGTCAGTTGCCCCGACGACAGGCTGCCG